ATAAAAAATATCAGGAAGGTATTTAATTTTCTTAAGGAAAGATTAAATAAATTTTTATAATAATTAAATTCCTTTCCGTTTCATATTAAGAAATTGCTATATTTTTTGGAACAACACGATGATTTGTTTATTATAATAATAAAGTCTCGTAGAGTAATAATCGATAACGCATTATTAAAAAATTCGTTGAAAATAATAATAATTATCAGGAGGCATTACAAATACCTCACGGCGAAATATAAAGTAAAAGTATCGTTTAAGATGACGTCGTCGTTTTTACGAAAAAAATCTCAAGAGATCTCGCAAGTTATGACGATCTAGGAGCCTTCCGAGATAAGCTAAGTAGATAGGCGACAAGTGAAAACTCGAGGAATCTGAGGCATCCTGACAAAAAAAAAAAAAAAAAAGCGATGGTCGGGCACCGTAGGCCGAAAAAGAATAACGCGAATAACGGGAGGCTGTGCGTGTATGTGTGAGTGAACAAAAATGAATGAGTAAATATGAATAGCGGGTGTGAGATGACAACCGAAGGTCTCCCTGCCCTCCCGCCCCTCCCGAGGAGGGGGGGGGGAGGGGGAGGGGGGAAGGGAGCGAAAAAGAAGAAAAGAGACGCGCGAGACGGAGATGAGAGAGGGACCCAATGGAAGTGGCATCCTCTTCGCGCGGGCGTTCTCGGTGTGCTTCCGGTGTGATTATGCCGAGGCGGCGTTACAGTTGACGGCGTCTCTCATTCGACTCTTTTTCGCGCTGATCTTCGGGTTCGATTGCGTCGTGAGGCGCGTGCGAACCGCAGTACCAGCCGCGCGTTCACGTTCGTCGCACGCGTACGTCGCGCCGACGTACGAATGCCGAAGGGTGTAATCGCGTCAACGGCAACCCCCGGATTAAGCGGGCGACGTTGTCGATCAGGCCGACAGTGTCCTTGATTACTTACAGAGACAACACAGAGATAATCAGATCGATCAAGCGCGCGGATGAGAGAGAGAGAGAGAGAGAGAGAGAGAGCGCGACGGGCGACAATTTGATTCCACTCCTCGGAAAGACGAAACGATCGGTGAAGAGAGGAACGAGTCGTCATTTTTCAATTGCTAGAAAGAGCGAACGTCAAAAGGGCGAATTGATAAAAGAGCTTTACTTTTGCTTTCGTTGCTTGCGCTACGCTACATGGATTTTTATCTAGATTTTCTGCATATAAATGAGAGACACAAGTGAATGTAAAAAGAAAGATTAATTATACATACTTGTATAAAGATTCGATTTACATGAAAAAGTCATAGATCATAAATACCGAGGTTTTTTATTTAAAAAAAAAAAAAAAAGAAAAAGAAAAAAAAGAGTATAAACATTGAGATTTTTTAAAATTTAATAATCCGATTATTATATAATTATGTAACGTCAAAGGGTGTATAATCCAAGCTAAAGCTTGAAGCAAATTCCAACGTAAAGTGATTTAAGTGGAAGAATAATTCCACTGAGAATAATTCAACATTGTCATTAAATGGATAGCAACCGTTTCCGTTTTGCTCGAAACGTTTAAGCGCTCATACTCGGACTCCAACTGTCCGAATTCATATCAGCTGACGTAAACGCAATTTAAGACAACGTACGGAAAAGAAGAGAGTCAAAACACAATCCAAGGAAGGTAGGAAGCGTGTGCAAGCGAGTATTAATTTAGTTGTGCCATAAAACTTGCCAACTGTAAGCCTTCCATAAGCACGGATTTAAGCGCGCACTTAAAGGAACTGATACTTAAGTACACGATTTAAAATAATCTGAACAGAAAGCAGAGTCTATTCTCTCTCGAAGAAGAGGAAAGGAAAGCGACGCTGATTACGCTGATCAGTGTGTACGTATAAAAGCGTTTACTTTTGTAGAAATTATAGGAACAAAAAGGTATGAAATAAAAAAAAAAAGGAGATGCGAGTGTAAAACGAAAACCGGAGGCGCGGCGGTTGAAAACTTTGTAATTGCAAAGTGACGGTGAATAATAACCGGGAAGTAGTAATTTGTGGGTGCCGAGCGATGTACAGAGACGGAAATAATAGTCGAGATTGTTCACGTTGGATAAACGAGTAATTGTATAATTCTTATGCCATTATGTCCACGGCAAGACTAGTCTTGATCGGCCTGATGTTATCCTCGACGAGAGTGTCGTCGGAATTGCACTTGGCGAAATGTTGCCCGCCAGGAGAAGTCTTCTCGGGACATTCCACCGTGGAGTGCGTCTCGGTGCCGAGGAACCCCATGGAGGTTTACGTTCACCATCGGAATACTACCGCGGGAGTATTCCAGGGAATTCCTCGGTGCGACGAGCCCGAAGATCTTGTGACGACGCCGCTCGACAACGTTCTCGATTCCAACAAGTTCTTGGAGGTAAACGTTGTGACTAACGATTGAAATTGTGTGATCGTCTATATCTTTAAGGGGAATCGCGATATCTTGATGCTTGAACCAAAGGGCAAGTATTGCGTTCGATGAGGAAGTATGGAAGAAAAATGTTTCTTTTAAGTTTCTAATAATATGCGCGATCAAAATTCGCACGACGGAATGGGAAAAGAATTAAATGACACACTTTTCGCTTGTCTTTCATTTGTCTTCTTTATTTTCATCATTAAGTTGAAAGACCGCGCGATTTACTTTGGCGATGTGTAAGTTAAATATTTTCAATGACAAAATAGAAAGAAACGTAGACAGAAATATAGAAAAATTCATAACAAGTTATACTATAGAGCAGAAAATGTAATCTTTTATTTTTTAATTAAAGTTATAATATTCATTCGTTTTTTAATTAAAAATAAATTCATTCGTTTTTAATTAAAAAAAACGAATGAATTATAAAAAATTACGTTTGCTAATTCTCGATCCTGCAGAGCTTAAGAGGATTTCTTTGGATTTCCTCAAATATTAACCACTCCCTCAAATATTAACCACTCCTTTAATTTGCTCAAGTATATTGGGTGCGTCGCACATTTTTCCCCATGAGGAATGAGTAGAGTATTATCAGATGAAATAAAAATTAAATAAATAGAAATGCAAAAGAGTGAAACCTTATCGAAAGTGAAAGAAACTTGAATAACGAGGCTTGACGTTGTTTGTTAATGCACGGGGAAACATACAATTCATCACTTGAAAGTTTTTTTCACGATGGCATTTTTATAGTAGCCATTATTATTGTCGCGTGACATAATCGGAGCACGCTATCTCAATTCAATGTAATCGATTATATAAATAAAATCATAGATTTAAATATAGTATCGTTTGGAAAAAGAGCGTACTTCTTCCACAAATCTGACAAAATTGTTTGCAGGTGCCAGCTTGCCTCGAAATACTTTACGACCAAATGGCTGGAGAGAGCACCGTAATAGTCGTTCATTGTCGGTCGAATGAGGACCGACAGGCGAAAGCGATTAACGCATCCTTTCCGCAGTTCGCATACGTCAGAAAATGTTGCCCTCACGATACCGTATACGACAGCCGCACGAAAGCTTGCGTGTCCCGGTTAAACGAATCGGAGAGCCTCGTGACGTTTTTGCTAAACAGATCGACCGACGCGGATCTCGTGGTGGTGGTGGCCGTCAAAGGTCCACCATCCACGTGCGAAGGACCGATCGTCGATTACGAGATCGACGAAAGTGACGCTTTTTCCTGAACAGTACATATTCGGTGAGCAAGGCAGGCACCGAAACCTATTAAGATGGTTTTTCAAGCCCCTTACGGTTATGTATATTTCTCTCATTTGTAAACTGTTGTATCTCGAACACTTTGAGAATTCAATAGGTTTTTTTATTTTACGTAGACGAACATAATGAGTGTCTTAATACGAGCAAAGTTGGTCAATCGTCGATTTTGTTGAAAGGTTGATTATAAATAAAATCTCCGTCAAAGAATAATTCATCGAAAATTGATTATTTATATA